GACGGATTGCGGCGGACTAATGCGTTCATGTTCGTCGATTTTACAAAAATTAGGGGCGGTATTGTAGATACTCTTTTCCATGGCAGGATCTTTCATCTGGTATACACTATCATTGTTGTGAGCGCACGCTGCTCCAAACAAATCGCCGAATGGGGGCTCATTGTGACTTCCTTTGCATTCTTCTTTGGCGAGTTTGAATCAAATCTATGTTCGCATCGAGTTAGCCGTATACAGTGGAGGAATTTGCCATTGAGTTCTGATCTTGGGATTTGATTGAGCTGGACTTGGTGGACTGATGTAATCGCTGCTTCTCATTTTGACTTCTTACCTGAGTAGTCATTGTGAGAAGCGTGGTAACTCCTAGTGTGACTCTCGCGGGTACTGCAGTTCGTTCCAGCCAGAACGAAACCCATGACACCACGACCAGCAGTGTGGATGGGAGATAAATTTGAGCCACATAGAACCTAAATATTTCATTGGTAAACAGATGTTCATGAGCTGTACACCTGATTTTTTTCCACCCAGCATATGCTGCAAATATGCTGCGTAACCATAGAGCCAGTTGGCGGTCCCCTCTGCTAGGAATAGTCTTCTGTTCTTCTCTAGCACATTTTTGTTTTCTTGTTCTTGTTGCTTTATTTGAGGGAACAATAATTCTAACCTGAAACTAGACTGCTGCCTTCAAATTGAAAAAAATCTCAGTGAGGTCGAGAAAACTGTCATGTCCAGATAGGATTCATACTCAGGGTGTGTCGTTTTTCTGACGAGGATCCCGTTCGCTCTCCGTGGACATTGCATGCTCAAAATAGCAGCATAGGCTTGTTTGCAAAACTCCACTCCACTCACAATGCAGTGGGTTCAGTTATACATATTAGAGGCATCTGCTACGAAAAATTCTTTGCTGAAGAATGGGACAGATGTTCACTATAGAAGGAGGCTAGATCTCTGATAGGAAGTGGTTCAGAAAGTAAGGCGTTTTCTAAAAATGTTTTTGTGCATTTTGCAGGGGCATCTACATGAACAAAATAGAAGCATGTTGCTGGCAGCGGCTCCTCAAGTCAGTAATTTCCATACAGCTGAGCACTGAGAGAACGTGAAAAAACGCGATCCAAACTTCAAAAACCTCCGTGAAGTGTATTACAGAGGTCAAAATTTTACGGTATATTACCGCATGCATATTGTTTACTCTAGCATGTCACGAAATATGCACTACCTCTTTCGGTACACTGTATCGAGATCCAATACGATTTCACTCCCACAAATCAAGGCTCGAGCGCTTGTTTTTGTTATATGTGAATAGTGCCTGAGCCTTTATCTGAGACACCCCCAGGTGAGCTGTGTTCATCATATGAACGAACTATGAACGCGCTGGTAAGTTATCGTTTCATTTTTCCAGTCTTTCGTAATGCTTTGGAGCAGGATTAGAATTCTTGCGTTCGGCATTTCTTACTTTTGTACATCTTACTGTTCACCGTAGACTAATTTTCGGGTCATTATAAAGAAAAGTACATCACGGCTCAGTGTAGTTTTACCAACCTGAACATTCGTTTCATTGTGAACATGGTTTGAATACAAGAGTATTCTCCAGTTGTCGTGGAGCTGGTGCAATCACCAATCTCGGCTGAAGCTAGCGAGAAGTTTGGCAGCGATGTATTCAGTTGAACATGGTACTGTATTGGATTCTGTTCTTCCCATCGATAAACTGAAAGTTGTCATGTTGAAAACCTTTTCGCCAGAGCAATCATAACTAGTCATAGGTAGGCCAAATGGACCAGACCAACCGATGTCATCTGTGGTAAATGCGTATGATGCTAGGAGTAAGCGACACTTCTGCTCGTCCATGGGATATTTCTAAAATGAAATCGTGCTCCAAATTATTGTTAACAACAGTTGTGTGAATCCCGAATTCTGCTCGGCAATACTTAGTTTAGTTCATTTGAAAAGCGTGTCTACCTACTCATTCTACTATTGCCATGGCAAAAAAAAACTTGCCCCAAACAAAGGTGGATCTTCATTCATATTTTCACAAGAATTCAGCTCCTTGAATAATGTAGGGAAAACCAAGTCAACTCATTGCTATGGGCTGCCAACTCACAACATTCCTGACATTTCTTGAGTTTTTTGACAATCGAATTTTGACATGCACAGAAACTTTGTGTACTTCCCGACAGGGTCAAACGTGCATTGCGCAGATTCAATTTTTACGACTCCCTACCTATACGGGGCCTCGAAAGCGACTCTCCTCCACCAACATCAGTCTAAGGAGACTCCCCCAATGTGACCCTCCCCCACACCCGGACCACCGCCTTCACCATCATGGCTATTTCTATAGCATTTGATATGAGACCAGTCTCCACCCGCCCACTCTGCCCTGCAAAATGGACGTCGAGCGCGGAGGGTTAAATATGTCTGAAGAAACACCACAGCTTCCTAGAGAGAGCGTGTGTGGTTTTCAAGGTTTCCTGCTGCTCCTTTCTCTGGAACAAGTGTTAAGGAAGCTGCGCATTTTGAAATTGTGAGATAGCGAGGCGGAATTGTTCTTGACATTGCAATTTGATATTTGGTGAAATTGCATGAAGTTTGAGTTTTTGAGAAAGGAAGCTTTTTGCTTTCAAAATCTACCCTTCTTTTTTCAGAATCGTTTCTGAAAGAACCGCGGCCATGGAAGTGTGAAATGTCATACATTAGAAAAAACTTGTCATTCGTTTTCAACGAAGTCAAGGTTAGAGTTAGTAATATTTCTAGCAGAGAATCATTTCTTTGAATGCGCTAGTTCTGGCGATTTTCCGGTCACTGTTTTGTCTGAAGAAAGCCGTACCCTTTTTGAAGAGGTGATCAGCTTGTCGGCTCAATATCGCAGGCACGCCTTTCCCACCGGGAGGCATGGTACATACCATGAATACATCATAGTGAGTAAAGGGAGGTGAAGTGTCGTAGTATTTTGCTGTACATGCATTGCTGCCAATTCCAAACTTACGTGCAAATACATCGGACAGGAGAGCGTGAGAGAAAGCCGTTCTGAGTACATCACGCTGCCATTCGCATAAATTCGCATTAGCAGGTTCAGTTTGTCGATCTCATGGCGATGTGCCTCCTTCTCGTTCTGTAACTTTCGACTTAATAATTTCGCCCTACCCCACCGCACTCACCACTGAAGGGAATAATAACTGACCAAAAAGAACGTATCTGGTATCCAGATGAGATCTTTTTCTGTGATTATGATGAACTTTGGGAAATTTTTTCCAGGGTAAAGGTTTTCATATGCTAGACGGGGATCTCTCCAAAACTGTCGAAACGTCACTTGTAAGTTGTACTGCATTCGTACAAAATCAATGTTCGACATGCTGAAATAGAAAAACTTGAACGATTCCCTTCGTGAACATCTGCACTATGTAATCCTGTTTCTCCCACTGCTAAGCACGTAAATATAGTCGAGCAAAGGTAATGTTTTATCAAAAACGGCGCAGAAAATAAATCCGTCTTTTACTCTCCATTCACGAAAATCAAACCTGGAGATTCACATGACAATTGAAGTTAGCTCTTTGGAAATGAGGGTAGAGGTGTCAGTGGAGCAGGGATGAGAAGAAACTATTTAGAACGCGGCCTGAACCCGAGAAATGGGGATCCTTCCCTGCCCGTTGATTTCCGCTTGATGCGACTCTCATCGTTGTGCCCTCTTCAACGCTAACGCTCTCTCTGCTATCTAATCACTCGCCGCGTATGAACTGCGGCGAGTGATTAGATAGTCGGTGGGCGTTCCGCGCCAACTGCGAGGAATAAGGGCCTATGCCTAAGAATCGCAGGGAGATCGCAGGAGTCATGTCCTTCAATGCGTCCGCCTGTCTCTCTACTAGGTGAGTTTCCCTTTCTTATCGTGGTGATCCTCTAAGCTGGTGTCTGATATGTTCAAAAGAACAAAAGGTCGAGCCAAACGTTGGCGTTTTCTTTTAATCGCGTAGGTACCGCGAGTTCACATGAAATCCGACAAAAAAACCACTTTAGCACGCTGACGACAGCGTACAGCGCATCTGCGCACCCTGAATGGTATCTTTTTTCGCGCATGCGCTAATTCTTTTCTATTTTCTTGCTTTCGTTCAACAGATCGCCACAACGTAACCTTGAGCTCCACTACGCCACGAAAGCCACTGAAACTTGCCTTTCATGACCAAAAAACGTCATTTCGATCGAGCTTTTGCAGCTGTACCTTCCGAGTTCAGCATATCTAATATCATTGAGAAATTTTTGTCGCATACAAGTTTTGCTATTTACATGCCAAAATTCACAGATCTGATCTGAGGCGGCGGCGCCTGCAAAATCGCTCTGACCTCACACGACGTAAAATCCCAAAACCTGTCCTCGACGTGTTGATCCTTTCCCTTGGTATTGGAATAGTATATACCAGCCATTCATAAACTAATTTCAAGAAATCCGCAATTTCTAATAAGGTATCAGCCGATTAGGATGCGGGGACATAAAAAATATTATGATACAAAATGGTATCGGATCGCAAGACGAGAATTATTGGAGCTACTATGTATACACCCTTTCAAAAACAAGAAGAGCGTCGGGTGCAGACCATACACCACAAGTGACGACGGCCTCCACAAAATGTAAATGTTTTCTGCCAATGAAATGATTAGCCTGTTGCAGTTGTATTCTATCAGTTGTCACTAATTACAACTATCATTTACCAAAATCAGCTATCACTATGAACCACTACTAACCAGATTTACTTGGAGGCCGTCGTCTTGTGGTGTATGGTCTGCACCCGACGCTCTTCTCGTTTTCTGAAAGGCAGGGTAGCTACGGCTAGCGAAGAGTCCGCAAACACCGTGCTGGCCAACGGCAATTTCACTTATGCTAATTTTGCATAACACCGTCTTGAAAGAGAACCGAACTCAGGCATATCTTCATTTATGACACAAGCTGCCAATCAG